ACCAATGACAGGAAAAGGGGGTTTTGAGCATCAAAAGTATTTTTGGTACCTCCGAGGTTTATATGACAATTATACTTCAACAAAGTTAGGCTGATAGCTTAAAAGCACTGCATGAAGTCCAGATCTTGACTAGTGCTCACTTCAGATCTGAAGAATCACATTACAAAGCCACAGTGTGTTTGAAAAGAGCTTTCAGAAGAGCGAGCTTGCAAGACAGAACAATTGATTCATTTGACTGATTCTTCAAAAAAAAAAAAAGCTTGAGATCCAAAAGTCCACTGGCGGAACATTTGGCTTCTAGCTTAGGTCTTAAAAGCAATAGCATTAAAAACGTGTATAAAATGAAGGCTCAGATTCACACCAAAACATATGGCAAACACTAGCACCAATAACCAGCAAGAGTTGCACACAGAATCACTGTGAATGAAGACACAGTCTGCAATGCTTATTTAGGTGAATTTTAAACCAGGTGGATGCATTGTTTGATGCAAATGGGAATGCACATTTCATTTCAGGGTGATTAATAAGGCTGTGATATATATGATAAAGGCCTAGCTGATTTTCAGTGGTGCTGAATCAATCATCCTGATTTTTAGGGCAGGAAGGATATGGCAATTTGGTGGTGTCCACCTTCTGAGATCATAGCAACATGACTGATTTCAGAAACTGGGTCTCACAATGACCTCTCACAATGATTGCAAAACTTTTCACAGAGAAGCAGAGGCTTTGTTGTATAAGGTTACCAGATAGCTGAATGAGGACAAATGAGGACAAAGGATGACATGCTAATTGTTTCACTTTCATGGCATCTGTGACAAAAAATTACAGGGAGAAAAGGCCCCAAAACGTAAACCTGCATGTACAAGTATATGAAAATACTTTTCCAACATCAGAAAGACTCGTTTTTCAATTGCACAGTGTGCTAGAGGCATATAACTGATTAAAGTCTTGTCAGTTTCAGATAGCAGCCAAGCCAGCAGGAGGGTATTAATCAAGGTCACAGTGTGGAGCTCGTTAACTTACTGTTAGCACTCATTAAGGGAGTGCTCCACTCTGGAGAAAAGTTGCTCAGGAAGTGATAGCTTGTAGATACTCAAAAAGCCAGCTGATATTTGATTTTTAAGGCTATGCTTGCCAGGCAGAGAGCCTGAAGGCAAAAAGGAGGATATGCCCTTCTTTTGCCAGACAATTGGTGATCTTATATCTGCTTTGGAGCCTAATTTGTGTCCATCTTTCTCCTGAATATCAAAACATCACAAAAGGAGAATGTTTCTTAGCTGGAGCTTAAGAGGACAACCATGGGAGGGACTGCCTTATTTGCACAAAATATAGGGCAATCTTGTCTCAAGGGCTTTCAAGAGATTCAAGTCCCTTTAAAAAACAGCAGAATCCTGTGCGTTCTACAGCCATGGGATTGCAGCTGTTAATTTGTGTCCTCCCTCCATTTGCCTCTCACTGAGATTCCTTCATGGTGAAGAAGGCTAATGCCTATGAAGAATTCTCAATAGCCCCCAAAATCACAGATTCATATGTGGCTGGAAAAGCAGAATGGCTGTTGCCATTTCACTGAAGGGCACAATTCTTCAACTCAGCCTCTTCACCCAGGAGTCAGTGATCCATCTGTTTATAGATGTGCTGAGAGTAATGGGAACTTGATCAAAGGGGCTAAGTACATCCTACAGCACCCCAAAAGAGGAGGACTGGAGGCCATGGAGATGGTTTACAGGAAATTGACCTGAGCTAGAATCCACAATGGCACTCAGATTTAAAGAAAGGTTTTGCACACAGAAAAATCGCCCTTATAAAAGCCTAAATAAAAATTTACAGCTCCCTCTTTTCTTCTTTGAGCCTCTAAATCAGAGGTGTCCAACTTTGAAGACTTGTGGACTTCAACTCCCAGAATTCCCCAGCCAGCCATGCTGGGAGTTGAGGTCCCCAGGTCATAAGGTTGCCAAACTTTGGACATCCCTACTCTAAACCAAAAATTAGATGCAGCAATTCATTAGTTGTAGCATAATGAGTTGATAAATAGCAACATGCACCACATTTAAAGGGTAGTTTGGTTTGCTGTTTCAAAATCGAACTTCAGAGGATGGGTTACAAAGCCATCCTTGCATATTATTAGGAACCCATTTGAGGCAATGTCCTTTGGATGTGGACAAAAAGCAGAATTAGCTGCCATGAAAGGGTTTTTTGTGTGTTTACTCCTAGACCAAGTGAAAACTGTCTTGTCTCTCAGGAATATAAAATTTGATATGCAGTAATGATTTTTAACAATCGCTAAGCCTTAGGCACACATGATTGCATATGAGAGAAGATAGCTGAAAAGGTTTTTTTTCTGTGATTTTGTTATATTTTAACCTGTCGACTGATTATATAGAAGAGCTACATTCAGTTGTCTGATAGGTGAGCTTTGCATGTGTGTATTATATGCACAGAAAAACACACACTGCATTCAGTAAGGTGCTTTCAACAAACAATAGCAATAAGGATAATACAATGCTTCCAGCAAACTAACAATAATGACAACTAGATATTTTTCTTAAGTTTCACACATTTAACAAAAAGCGATTTCAATTCCCAAGCCGGACCTGTCCCAGGTATGCTGGCATTAAAGCTAAAAACATCACACCTTCCCATGCTAAGAGCCTATTCCCATCCCTTGCCATCTCTGGCTTCCTTACTTGTATCCCTTTTGCCTGCTAATTTCTCAAGGCAAAATCATGGTTTCTGTTAGGAAAATGGATGTAGTGTACATTACTTAAATAGACTGAGACCAACTTTAATCTTTTGCACTGTGTGAGGATAGACAGAAACTGAGTATCGGTATCTACTCAGAATTCTACCCAATTGGCAATGGACAATGGGCCTATTAAGGTCCTGTACTTGAAATGTTCACCATTCACTTGGATGGGGAGGAAAGCTTCCAAGCACTCTTTGTATATCTAAGATGGAAGTTCCAATCCAGCAGAAGTGAATGAAAAAAAAAAACCAGCCAAAGCAACAAATACAATGAAACTTCTCTACCCTTAAGGAATCAGTAGAAAAATAGCAAAAGTGTTTTCCCTTATAAAAATAGAAATACTGAATTATATTATTGTAGCCCGATCCTATGCTTGTCTATTCAGAAGGATGTACAACTGCATTCTATGGGGCTAACTCCCAGTTAAAAATATCTAGATTTTCAATAAACACCTGGGTACAAATGACTAAAATTTGTTTTCTTTAATTATGGTCCTACAAGAACTCTTTTTGTTGTTAATATATCATGCAATATATTACAATGTAATATTAACAATGTAATATACTGTATACACAGCATATATACAGTGTGGGCATTTGAGCATACAACTGTATCCATTTTTGCCAAGGCACTTCGTATCCCCAGTGGCTTTGGGGAAACGTCAAAGCAGGACCATTGATTTTTGTTCTTTTTATGTTTTTAAAAATAGGTACTTTGTGGTATTAATAAAAAGCAAGGCCACTAGCAACGAAGCTTGGGCTAGAAGTGTTGGCGAGAACACTGTAAAAACAAAAGGAGAGTCACAACATTTAGGCATATAGTTGGAAAGGGAATAGATTTTAACAAAAGTGGTTGCTGCTGATCATCTGTAGATTTTGATCTGCCTAGTCCTGGATGTGTGTGTCTCGCTTTGGAAGGAGTCAATATGTGCAGGACCCAAAGGACAGCTTCAGTGCAAAACTTTCTTGTCCTTTCTTCATTGCTCTCTTGCCACTAGTTGTGACTCAACATGAAGCTCTGTTGCTTTGGCAGATATTAGAGAGTATTACATGCATCCAGGGCCTTGCTCAAGGAAACAGATGATTTTCCTGCTGTGGAGCACTGATTGTATTAAATAGAGCTGGAATTTTCTAAAAAGTCAATTTCAGGTACCACCTAAATATGTGCAGGTGCAGCTTTCCCACAAATTTACCTCAAGCGAGTAGAAGGGGCAGACCATCCCATTCCTGGGGGTTGGCAACACGGACTTAATTTTTCACATGATCAGTCGGGTTTTCACAATTAATATGTGAACTGTCAGTTAAGGTATGAAGTAGATGGTATAATATGTACAACTGATCAATTATATTTTCAGCCAAGGGTCCTTAGGTGATTCACAATTAATTGATATAATTTCATATTTTAATTGGGCTACAGTCTATTAGCTACTCTAATGGTCAGCACAGAAGTTCTCCCTCAGAGAGATATGGGGAGAAATCTGTTACGTTTGGACCTTCATTGTAAATTTAGCAGGCCAACAATGCATCGAAATTATGCCAGTTTAAAAAAAATGCTAATATGAATTTTCAGTTCACCTGCTTATCTTTACTATGGTAAACTCTGTAGGGCTGAGTCAGCCCCCTTGGGAATACCAAAAGAGTTTAGCATCTCACAGTTATTTTAACAAGTTAATTGAGGGGCTTTTCTTGCTGAAATAAACTGGAACAGTCTATGAAGTTTGAAAGGGTAGATTAATCTATTTGTACATTGTGTATATCATTGAATCCCAACAGGGAAACCTTAAATTCATATTTTCCCTTCTCTTTTCTCTTAAAAAAATTGAAAATGGGAGTCTAACAGAATCTTTGTCCTTAACCACCATTGCTTTGTATATTGTATTTATGTGGTATATTCTTCTTGTAGCCACCAAACAGCCAATAACGTTACATGTAAACATCACCTACTCAACTCAGCTGCGATTTTTGCCCAATTGATCTAAAAATGAAAGATCATCCAACTTCTCTATATGATACCAGCAAACGAAGTACAGGAATCCTCAGGCTTGTGTTTTGCTAACACAAACATATTTTTTTTAATTAAACCACATATCATATCCAAAATTATAAATGTTCTGCCATTAATGAAGTTGACCATCAATGTTTTGGGAATCACTGGTGACTGCTGAGTATTGGAGTGCTTAGACATGGTACCAGTTCATCTAAGCCCGGCGTTTTCTGATGGGATGCTCAGAATCCTGTAGGCTGTTTGTAATCTGAATTCAGATTGCTTCTTGCACAGGTTCATCTTCCTGTTTGTTCACATAGCAAGGTGGTAAGGAATGCATTGAAGCAGGTGCCACGACCAGCTGGTCTGAAAGTTCCCCTTCATTGTGGGGTGTGCTCCTAGCTGCAGGAGCATGCAGACGGTGAGCATCCAGCATTTCCAGCAATAAATCGTAAAGTGGGACCACATTCTTGCACTTCATGTTATAGAGGTGCTCCATCCCTTTATTGCTAGAGGTTCACATAAAAATAAAATTAATTACAATTATCCCAAGAGAGTTCAACTTTAGCTCTACTATTGCTTGGGGTTAGGGTTAGGGTGAATGATGCAAAGCATGTTCAAATATATTGATTAATGACCTAAGGGGGCAATAAAACCTAGATTCTGACTATACTGGAAAATAGCAAGGTGACTGTGGAGAATTTATTCATTTAATTAATTAAATTTAGAGCCGACACAATTCCAGATTACTCTGGGTGGCTTAAGAGTTTAAAGAAAGAAAAAGAATCATGCACATCCAGGAAAAAAAATACAAAAGAAAACATGCAACAGTCGCTCAACCCACACCCTACCCAAGACTTGGGAGAATACCAGGAATTCAAAGACTTTTGGAATTCATTGGGGTGGGAACTGTACAAATTTCGGCGGAGTGAGATAGTACTCCATAGAGAAGGCATCAGGCCAGAGCAGTAATCAGCAACCCCCAGGTTAGTACCCCATTTTAGGAACAATGGTACTATAGCACTTTTTAAAACAAACACTGAATTTTCTAATCCCATTTGATCTTTACAGTGCATTTGAAAATACTTGGGCACTGTATAATGGATGGATCTCCACTGGAATGAATGAAAAATTGAAAACATGCAACAAGCAAAAGAATGGAATCACAGAAGTCTAACATGAGATACATTTGGCTTTCATAATAAAATTAGCACATTTATGATTATATTCCAAAGTAATTGAGGTCAAGCCCAAATACATCTTGAGGACATCATCTGATACACCTCCCTTTGCCATGTGCAGCACAAATGAATGCTGAAGTTTAAATTCTAGCTGTTCTCAAGGGATTTTAGATATTGGCAAACTTTACCTTGGATTTTCAATTTTTCTATGACTTTTATCATCCCCTCAAGTTTAACCATGATAGCACATTTCAGGAAGGAGTCTCTTTTACACAGAAGATAGCACTAAGCTGCCATGTGTTAAAGCCCGCTGGGTAACTACTACTCACCTCATGTGCCTGATGTGAGACAGGATGAGGAGGAGCTGAGCCAGGCGCCTGTGTTGCTGCTGCTGGGAAAGGCCGGATTTGGCCATTAAATGCATCAAAGTGTCAGTAATCTTATCCAGAACACGATGGATATGTTCTTTTTCCTCCAGAGATTTTAAGGAGCTAGAAAGAAATGTGTAGATCCCTGTGGGAGGAGAGGAGAGGAGAGGAGAGGACAGGAGAGGATGCCTAGCATTATCAGTATTTTATAGCAGTTTTATTGATTAGTCTAATTAACGTATCATATAAAATGATAAAACAATAGGGTGTGTTGTGATATAAAAATATTCTGTTAAATAATCAGGTAAGATCATCCTTTAGTAAGCTGATCATAATCTGATCTAAATAGATAACTCTCAGTTGAATGGCTTTAGCTATAAATGTGGCAGTCTTTCTTACTGCCTATGTACTTGGGGCAAGTAAGATAAGCTTTTTGATGAGGTCCCAATGGGCTATTGTGTCAATTAGCAACTTTAAATGCTTTTCTATGGCTGAAGCATATAGTTGGCAGTCAGAAAGGATATGAGTAACCTGGTAAGCTGATTATTACTGGCAGGGCTTTTTTTCTCATAGAACGCTCAGAACGGAGTTCCGGCACCTTTTTTGGATGGTACCTTGTAGGGTAGGCAAGGTGGGTTGTATGACATGTGTGAGTTCCGGCACCTTTTTTTTTTTATAGAAAAAAAGCACTAATTACTGGAGTGCAATTTATCGATTAGAAAGTTTTTAAAAAAACATAGAAGACATATTAGCATAGCTGACCAGCACACTGTGCTCAACTTCAGGAGGTGAGATGAGGGATGTACTACAGAAAGAAGTTTAATTTTTTTATACAAATTTCTGAGAGTAAGGCCAACAAAAGTCAATGACTCAACCTTCTCAATAGGAAGAAAGGAACAAATGTTCAAGGCAACCTTCCCCACCTGGTGCCTTCCAGATGAGATAAGCTCCATCTTAGGCCCAGTACTCTTCATTAACGACTTAGATGAGGAATAGAAGGAGAACTCATCAAATTTGCAGATGACACTAAACTGGCAGGAATAGCCAACACCCCAGAAGACAAGCTTAGGATCCAAAAAGGTCTTGACAAACTTGAACAATGGGCCCTAGCCAACAAAAAGAGTTTTAATGTGGAGAAAACCAAAGCTTTACATTTAGGCAGGAAAAAAAATCAAAGGTTTAAATACCGATTAGGCGAAACGTGGCTCAAAAACAGCAACTGTGAGAGGGACTTTGGTGTCCTAGTGGACGATCACTTGACTATGAGCCAGCAGTGTGCAGCAGCAGACAAAAAGCTAATACAATCCTTGGTTGTATAAAAAGAGGCATGGAATCAAGATCACATGAAATATTAGTACCTCTTTATAAAACCCTAGTAAGACCACACCTGGAATACTGCAGCTAATTTTGGTCACCATATCACAAAAAAGATATTGAGAAGAGCGGATCAACTTATTCTCCAAAGTACCAGAGGGCAAGACAAGAAACAATGGTTGGAAACTGACCAAAGAGAGAAGCAACCTGGAATTAAGGAGAAACTTCCTAACAGTGAGGACAATTAACCAGTGGAACAGCTTGCCTTCAGAAATCGTGGGCACTCCATCACTGGAGGTTTTTAAGAAGAGACTAAACAGTCACTTGTCTGAAATGGTATAGGTTCTTCTGCTCGAGCAGGGGGCTGGACTAGAAGACCTCCAAGGTGCCTTCCAGCTCTATTCTATTCTATTCTATTCTATTCTATTCTATTCTATTCTATTCTATTCTATTCTATTCTATTATTAGATGGAACTACAGCTTCTGAAGTTCTGGAAGTCTGAATACAAACATATCTGAAGGGCACCAGCTTAGAGAAAGTCTTCTCAAACTCTAAGTGAGCTAAATAAATGAAAACATAACACAACAAACTTGAAAAACTGCTTTAACACTCACAAATATTATACAAAAATAATATAATTTGAATTGAGGTTCTGATTCTGACATATACATATACAATAGAAGAAAATAATTGTATGACTATTAGCAAGCATAGAAGTGTAGCGCCAATCAAAACATTTTGTGGTAAGATGTATTTATTTGTTTGCTTGATTTCTATAGCTGCTCATCCTCAGCAAATGACGCTGGGAAGCTTACAATTCAAAGATGGCACTGGAACTTTTTTTTTTAAAAAAGAGCTCCATATGAAATAACATCTTTATGTGACTTACAGGTTTATCAGTCTGACATATTGAACTACAAATGATCAGCCTATAGCTCAACAAAGCGAATAAATCATGATTAAGTTAATTATGTGTTTGCTGCGTCATGATGGCCATTATGATAACAAAGCCTTCTCTCAGAGATGTCATTTTTTGTCACAGCAAAAAAAAAAAAAAAAGGAAGAGAAAGAAAGGAGAGAACCTAACATAAACATTGATCACTCTCAAAATAAGAAAGTTACATTGTCACAGGCTACACATCCCTTTATCAGATCATCAGTATTCTGGCTGTATATCTCAGAATTTGCAGCTGGGTGCTTGGACTGCAAGCTGAAACACATTAACTCCAGAGAATTCCTATAAAAGTTGTCAGTCAGTCTCTTTCACAATATAGGAGGGAGCAGACTAGAAGTCAAATTCTTAGTGCCATCGGCCTAAGTGCTGAGTATATGCATGTTCCTTTTTTATTTCTCTTCTTCTCTAAAGCAAACAATTTGAAATATACATAACATTGGGTCTTCACTTTAATTTTCTGACCTTATTTCCTGGTTTCAAAAGCTCCATTCTAAAGAAAGTTACTTATGCGGACACATGATAATCAACTGCAAATAGCATCCTACTGGAGATCTAACTCTAGTGCAAAATACAATAGCTGTAAGGCTTCTAAAGAAAATCAAATTATTTTGGGCTGAGACACTTGCATGATATGGCTATAAGCTATGGCACTCAGAAGAGTACAATGTTATGTTGCACAGTCGCTTTAAAATGAGATGGCCTGCAAATAAATTTAATGTGACTTTTTATTTTTATTTTTATTATTTTTATGAAAAAGAACTTTATGTAATAAAATGGGCAATATTTATGCACAGTAATCGAGATCATATTTGTTACCGAAATGACATCTTGATTATGCCCTTATATCAAGAAGCAAGCTGTTGTCTTAATATCTGGAGAAATTCCATCTGTGATGTCTTGATTTGCAGAGGATATGTGTAAAAATTTGCCATATACAGTTTGGGGTCCACCACATTTAACCCATTTTAACATGTACCCCATCAGCACGTGTGCCAGATCTCTCTCACTTCCCCCAATTTTTAGTTGGACAGGACCGGCAAGTCAAAATACATAGGTGGTGAATTGTATTGAACTTCAGAAGACATTAATTGTATAGATCTGTAGAGTTATTTCACTTGGGACTGTGGGGGGTTGCATTATGGACATTTAAGATACAGTAATTTATGATTCTAACTAAATTATATTAGCAGGTTTTACTATATTTTTTTATAAATTGTAAATTGCTTTTAACTGTAATCTATTTTAACTGGAAATAACGTGTGTTCACTTTGGGATTGTTCCTCAGTAGAAAGTAGAATATATTATGCATTATATATGATAATTGTATGTTGGATTTAATCCTGCCTTTTCTTTATGAGTCTACATTAATAATATAATATGTAGCCTGGTTCTAAGGTAATTTAACTGTAGTGGTACAATGTTGCTTTTGATTGCCTTAGTCAGAAATACCCATTCAAAGTTCATTTTCTGCCTCTTGCTCTTGATTTACTGAATCACAACAACTGCTGTGAATGCTGTCTTGTCTTCTAACAAATCTTCCTCTTCGAGCAGTTTCTAAAATAAAATATGATTCACAGTGCTGTATCTTGCATCTTTATTTAAAACTAGTGTTGCTATCCTATTTTGTATATATTAATAATGGTTTGGTTTTGTTTTGCTTTCTGCAAACAGAAGCGCTTTCTGCATAATCTGTTCAGAATGCTGATGCCACAATAACTTGTGTTGTTGGTTGCTTTGACTACAGCAGATTCAATCCACAGAGAGTAGGCTAATGAGAATAAAATGACACTCAACAAAAATGAATAACATGCTACCCCATAAGCACCTAACAACAAATTGTTAGTTGTAAATAACAAGGGCCAGTTACTACCCTAATAAGAAGGATTTGGAGATAAGAAGGCACTATGGGAGTCCCTGTAGATTTTATTCTCCTAGTAGTTGCCAAATATAGGGGGTGATCATGTGGCCAGCATGACATCACAGAATGCTGTTACCTTCCCATCAAAGTGGTATCTATTTATCTACTCGCATGTGCATGCTTTCAAACTTCTAGGTTAGTAGGAGCTGGGGCTGGGACAGGAGTTCACCCCATTGTATGGCACTCAGTTCTCGAACCTGAGCTGCTGGCTTTTCAGCTGACAAGCCCAGCATCTTAATTGCTAGCCACCGTGCCACCTCAAGAATGCACTATATAGCACTGGTCCCCAACCTTTTAGGCATCAGGGACTGATTCTGTGGATAGATGTTTTTCCACAGACCGGAGGGAACATGGTTTCGTGTGCTGCTTGCATCCACAGATGGGGCTTTGCTTATTTGTGCAGCCCGGTTTCTCGCATGCCACGATCTGGTGCCGGTCCACAGACCAGGGGTTGGGGACCCCTGCTATACAGAATGTATTTCGAGTATTGTTACTCTAGGACAGGGGTGTCAAACTCACAATGTCATGTGACGTGTCGTGACGTATCGTGACTTTTTTCCATTGCCGGCAATGGGGTGGGCGTGGTTTCGGCATGATGCATCCGCCCCACGAGTTTGACACCCCTGCTCTAGGATAAGATTGTTTTCCAAAACATTGTCTTAGCTCTAAAGACAAGTCACTGTACTAACAACGATCAAAGAACTACACAGAAGAAAAATCTTGTCTTCTTTTCTTCCTGCAATTGTCTCTATGGAATTTCCTATTTTGTTCAGAACAGCCCAGAGATGTACATGGAGTGTTTTTCATGGAGCATGGATGGCAGCGAGGAAGAGGAGAGAATATAAAACTTTCCTTCTTGAACACCTGAACTACAGTAGCTACTGTCCATAATACTATGTCAAAGGCAAACCACAAATAAGGCCAACATTTTAGAAATCCCTATGCTCTTTCATACCTCAGATAATCTCCTCAGGCATATACAGGTAGTCCTTGACTTACAACCATTCATTTAGTGACTGAAGTTACAGTGGCACTGAAAAAAGTGACCTATGGCCATTTTCACACTTATGATCATTGCAGCATCCCCATGATCAATATGATCAAAATTTGGATGCTTGGCAACTGGCTCATACTTATGACGGTTGCAGTGTCCCAGGGTCACGTGATCGCCTTTTGTGACCTCCCGACAAGCAAAGTCAATGGGGAAGCCAGATTCACTTAACAACTTTGTTACTAACTTAACAACTGCAGTGATTCACTTAAGAACGGTGGCAAGAAAGGTCATAAAATGGGACAAAATTCACTTAACAACTATCTCGCTTAGCAACAGAAATTTTGTGCTCAGTTGTGGTGGTAAGTCGAGGACTACCTATATATCATATCAACAATAAAAAGTCAGAGACATAGAACAGAAGCTTGACAGGTCCACAGCAGAATGCCAGGGATCAAAGGACTAACCTCCCCAGAACCATCTTCTGGAATCAATCTTCCAAATAAGAATGGCCTATATAATATAGTCCCACCTAATAATGCCAGGAAGGACACAATGGTTGGTGATATCTGAAGCCACTGAGATCTCCAAGAAAAAAATTATTATATTCTTCTATCCTTCTCCTGGAATAAGTCATCCATTAGGCTAAGTGGTAACTTTAAAGACACATGTCTCACTTACCAGAATTGAGTAGGATGATAGATTTAAGACATACAAATTCTTCCCCCTGGACGTTCATCATTCGAAAGCGAGAAGAAGTAGCCAGCAGCATGTCAAATATTTCTACCATGCCTTCAACGCACTTTCCTTGATTCCTGCAAGAACAAAGAAGAATCTAAGTGGTATGTGTGTGTGTGTGAGTGTTCAACAAAGAGAGCTGACATATTCATGTGCCATTTTTCCTCCAAACTTGGCCACTTTAAGACTGGTGGACTTCATCTCCCAGAATTCGTCAGTCGCCCCTACCTCCAGTTCATTCATAACCATCCCCATGCTGACATTTGACTTTGGATACGTATGTTGGATAAGGTAAATACTAGATTACGGAACACAACAGAATGGTGTACATAAGCATGCAATTCATAAATGGAATCACCCATTTTAAAATTCTCTTGCCTCCAATACTGTAAACCAAATACATGTATTTGAGAAAATTCCATTTTCATTTCAAAATTCCAAACACTGAATAACTACAGCTAACATCTATGCAAATAATACCCATTTAATGTTTGACTTATTACGCATTCTTCTTATTCTATACATAAACAGCCCACTGTTTAACTGGTATAGAAACCTTCGGACACTTTTTCGTCCAACTATCCTGTCTACAAGACCAGGCTGGAAATTTGCAGTCATTGCAAAGGCTTTCAACATTAATCCTGATCATGTAGCTGAGATAAAGCCATGTGATTTTTAATTCTCAAAAATGCATTTTTTTAAAAATATGTTCTTATGGATTGCTATAGAAGATTGCTTAGAAAGAGCTTCAGCCACATGTGCTATATTACTTAGCTTTTCTCTTTTGCATTGCTTCCAAATCTTGGTTCAAAAATTTCTAAGGAGGCCTGTTTGGTGAAGTCTTAACACAATACCTACTGTGAGGTGGTAAATCACATCATACATTCAGAGGCAGACATTTCATCCAAGTGGCTGAATACATTTTCTTATACAAAAGTAAATTGACATATTTTATGTGTGTGGCTAGAGAAGTTTTACAAATAGTTTCTTTCCCAAAAAAAGGGGATGATTAACAGCAATTATTTACGACTGCTGCTTAGACTTCTGAGCAAATATTCAAGTATGTAGTCAGCCAATATCTTAATGTTCTTGAGAAAAGTACATTTTTTTTAAAGACTGAAAACAATCCTTAAAGTAAATCAATCCCTTTGGAAGGTGTTTCTGCTGCTCAGGGAGTGGCATCATTTCTATGGAGTCTTTCAACTAGAGCTTATTCTGGTAAGTGGTCAAGAAATCCTGCAAAATATGATCCAAAGAACAGAGATTGTGCTGTGTCTACAGTATATGATCCAGTAACCAGGGAATTGGGTTAGGGTTTTCACTCCCCAGTCTCCCAAAAGCAATGTGAATCTGATCCCAGAATAGATTCACTTTTGCCAACTTGGGTGCCTGAGAACAAGGAACAACATCATTCCTTTAGTTGGTTGACAGAATGGGGGGGGGGGAACCCTGCAAGCATTTAATCAGTGCTCTTCCTTGCCTATCCCCTGAAAGGATGGTAAAAAGATGCATCTCAGCAATTTTGCAACCAGATGATTTTTTTTATTATACTGCCACTCTTAGCTGTTTGTTGCTGTTGAATCGGAGATTAGGTTAATTTAGGTGGCGTTCACTGCTTTCAGATTCTTGCAGCTCTTCCTAAATGCAGGCAAGCCTAGATGTATCAATTTCAGGTGTGATGTTGACAATAATTCATTCTATTTCCTCTACTTTTCAGAAGAGGATCAGCCAGTTGCAAAAGGAGAGTTACTGTTCCAGTTGGTTTTTGTTTGTTTTTTCCCCTCCCCAGTGACTCTGGTCCCAAAAGGAAGAGAGTAATTGATGCCTTCGGTTCAGGAGCTAAGTGACAAGAGTTCTCATCAAATGGGAAGCCAGACTACTACCAAATTCAAGATTTCAAACTCTGCAAAAGAAAAAGGTTGACTTCACTGGGCTTTCAAATATATTGTGGACAAGCACATAGCTTTTTGGCCTATGTGGAAACTCTTTGGAATGGGTTCAGTGAGATGCTGCCCACCCATCATGATAATGAGGTTCTCCTTTTAAAGGTATTTGCCTTACTTCAAACCTTTTGCCACAAGAGTGGCAAATACAATTTAAATAAAGACGTTTAAGCAGTGATAATTATTTGCAAAAGCAATAGAAAGCCTGGGAGAAAAAAACAGTAAACTTGCAGACTTCTTTCTGCAAAAAGGGTTCTTTTTCAGCAAATAAAATGCCAAGTTCTAAATCCAATAGTGACAGCAGCTATTTCCATCTTCCTGCCACTATGGCAATGGCAAATATTATCTCAAAAACTAAACAGGGAGCAGGGAGGGGAAGCATGAGATGTTGTAGAAAGTGATCCAATGGACCGAAAGGGAGACAGTGGATTTCTTTCCCCAAGAACTGGTATGGTCTAGTTTTATTTCTTTGGCAGTTCATATAAACAGCTCATCTCAGATTAAATGGTTCAAATAAAACCTCTCTTCTTTCCCTCTCTTTCCATTTTCCTAACAAGCTATTGGTAAATGGGAGAGCATATTCATTCTCTTCTTTTCATTAAGAAATTCAATTACCAAGACTGTGTTCTTTTAGGTTTCTATTTTAGAGTTGGAATTGGGGGCGGGGGTGATATTTTAAAGTAGGAGGCCTCTTGGAGGCAAACATCTCCTATCCCCACTTTAAACCAGCCAAATTTCCTCAGAACAGCCTGAATCTGCACCTCTCAAAGGTGTCCATTCTACCACCAAATGTCAGTAGCGTGGTTTTAGAGTGGTAGGAGATTGCAAATGGATGCTAGAGTTGCATGCAGCCCTGTAGATGCCTCACTTGGCCTGTGGATATGTATGTAATGCATAGCTGGATATAGTCTTGAAAGACTTCAATTAGTCTCTTTTTACACAGGCACCATAAAGGGATAGATTTACAGCACCAAGAAAAGTGATGTGAAATAATACGAAATTTTGGTGTCCTCAAATACTGTGTAAATAGCAGATCAGTTTATCCACGTCTCCAACATGGCAGGTTCTTAATGCCTTAGATCAGGGCTTTTCAACCTTTTCACCCATTGTGCCACTTTTAGGATATGGCAACATCCGAGTACCACCAGTCGCCTAGCAAAGTGTCAAAAACTTGATGACCAAAAAAAAAAGAAAAGGAAAAAAGTGATAAAGTACAGGTAGTCCTCGACTTACAACAGTTCGCTTAGTGACTGTTCGAAGTTACAATGGCACTGAAAAAAGTGCCCCCCAAGCCACAGCCGAGCAAGACACCTGCCTGCCTGCCCACCCGGCGGCACTCTTTCTCCTGCCCGAGGTTTTCATTGTTGTGAGCATTTCTGTTGAGGATTGGCAGTGGAGGTGGGGTGGGGGTGTTTGGTTTTTATTCCCACCGTCTGCTGGGTGGTTGCAGCAGGTTTTGGTCACTTCACATGACCCTGGGACACTGTGACCATCATAAATATGAATCAGTTGCCAAGCATCTGAATGTAAATCACAAGACCCTGGAGATGCTGCAACATTCCAGCTGATTGGTGCTTCTTCAGGGCTCAGCAGAAGCACCAGGATCAGCGTCAAGCTCTAGCTCAGTGGTTCTCAACCTGTGGGTCGGGACCCCATTTGGGGTTGATCGACCATTTCATGGGGGTCGCCAAGCAAGGCTGTCTGCCATTTTTTTTGTCCGCCATTTTTTTTGCCCGCCATTTTTTTCCCCTTTTCCAGCGGGTGCCTTACCTCCCTTGGGCTGGGCCAGCTGGTGGTCGGCCTGCTCCGTCTCTGCCGCTTGCCAGCTACGCCTTGGCCGGCGCAGGGGGCAGAACCACGCATGCGTGGCGCTCCCGGGCAGGGAAAGTCCTCAACTTACGACCAGTTGGGTAGTCCTCGACTTACAACCGGTTTAGTCCTCGACTTACGACCAGTTTAGTCCTCGACTTACGACTGGTTGGGGTCACGGCATTAAAAAGGTTGAGAACCACTGCTCTAGCTGGAGCCTGGCGCTGATCCTGGCGCTTCCGCTGAGCCCTGACAGACCTGCAGCTCCATCCGTCTCTCACTCAGGCTTGTGCGGTGCTGCCACCGGTTCAGCTCATTCCCCTCCCCCGCTATCACTTTTCTAGGATGGTCGCGTACCACCTGCCAGGTGCCAATGTACCCATACCACTGGTTGAAAAGCCCTGCCTTAGATAAATATAGTAACAGAGCAGTTATAAAATCACTTTTCTATTTTTCTAATTCTCTAAGCTTCTGCCTAAATCTAGCGGAATTGTTGGAAGCTATAAGTGCATTCTCTTTCCATTCTTCTCCAGAAAGTCCAAAGTCTTTCGATTTGACTATGACAAATTAGTATGTTTATGAAAACATGTAGATTTAAAAATGGATCAGTCTTCATAAAAATCTAAATGTTTGAGCAAAAAAATAAGTAGAATGTGATTAGACTATGCAATCAGCAGTTTATTGTTCCAGTCAGACATCTTACAAAGCTAAAAAGCTCAGAAATAACAGAGATAAATATGTTATCAATAGTTTAGGTAAGGGAATTCCTGGGACTTTTATCACATTTGCAGATGACACCCAGCTAGGAGAAGTGGCTAATACCTTAGAAGAAGAAAAGAAGATTCAAAAGCATCCAGGCTGTCTTGATCACTGGCATTTAAAAATATACCTATAAAATTCTGCCTTCTAGATATGAAAAATTAAAACCCTAAGCAAAAGGTTAGAGGAAAAAAATCAGGCTTTGCAATAGTGCATGTGAAAGAGATCTGGGTGTTTTGGTTAGCAAGCTCAATATGAGTCAGTCTATGATGCAGCTGCTAAGAAGACAAATGCCATCTTGAATAATATTACCAAGAGCACAGGGTCAGGGACTCAGGGAAGGAATTGTTCCACCCTACTCTTTCCTAATCAAATCCCACTTGCTGTGCTGCATCCAATTCAGAGGAGGCCTATGAATATAATAAAGGCCTTGTTATATAGCCCTATCAGGAATGGGGAAAATATTTTTTATATGTTTAACTGACAGAAGAGTTAGCTAGTGGATGATATGAGAGGAGTTGAAGGATTGTCATGTAGAAGAGGGAACATCTTTATTGCCCCAGGTACAGTGGCTTAAACTACAACAAGGTTGGTTCAGGTCCAATATGAAAAAAAAAGCCATCCAGATTGTATGAGTCACCTGGCAGACCAGACTGCCACTTGAGGTGGTAAGTTCTCCTTCCCTGGAGGATTTCAAACAGAAGCTGGATCATCATCTGTCAGAGATGTTCTGTGGTGGATCTTGCACTGACCAATTGGGACTAATTGACTTCTAAGGTCACATCCAACTCCATGAGTCAAAGGCTCTTAATAAATGTGTGTAGGATAAGAATTACATAGTATTGTAGTGCTTTTCTAAGAGTGCAGGATCATTACACAGGAACAAACCATTGCACCTGACTAGATAAAAAATGGTAGGTAGGAGATTATTACTGATGAACTACACAGCATTATGAAACCTTCAGCTTTCTTCATGACTTAACATGGTATTGCTGTAAATATTTTCACAACATCATGTTGAACAGACATGCTAGTTGTCTCCAAATTTGTACATTCCATATGTGCAGAGACTACAATTTCCAGATTTCCCAACTATCCTGGCCAATATTCTGATTGACTGGGAATTCTAGGAACAGTAATCCCCACACATAAAGAAGGCACCAGAGTGGGAAAGGATAATATATGTTAATTGGATGAATCACTGCAATCTCCCCATTTTAAATCAAGGTAGCAGTTTTCAGCTAAACATAATAGCAATTTTGGCACAAATTACAGGTATCGTGCAAGGTAGGGAATAGTTTCAACTATTCCAAACAAAGCATGAAAGAAAACAAAAAATGTTGAGAGAGAAGTGGCAGGTTGGATTGATAATTTATTTTATCTGAGAATTTAAAAAAACTGTAGAATTGAAGCATTAATCAAAACTGTCCACTTTTTCTTTCCATAGAGATTGTAAATTGCTATTCCATATTTAAAAGCTAAGCCTGGTTATTGCTGACAAAAATATTTCCTTCACAAATGAAACAGGCATGTGGCTTTTAATGACAAGAGATGGATGGTCCATCATAACATATCCACAACATTAAAAAATACTGCCTTTTGGCAAGTGTTTCTCATGTTGTTCTCATCAATATCACTCTGTTTTCCTTTTAATGTGTGATGTTTTATAAATAGTCCCCAAAAACATAGCTTCAAAATCTGAAATGGCAACTTGGAACATAGTCAAGATAAGAAGTGGATTTCTTACACATTGATTCCTGAAGAATTGGTATTACTGGTCAGAATTTGGGCAAATGGAAAATTAATAGCTATGGGTTTTTTAAAATCAATATTTTCTTCATATTAAACAGCCAATACGATATAACTCTGACCATACAGTAATATCCCAATCATGTTTACTCAAAAATAAGCATCCCTGTAATCAATATTGCTTATTTCTTGTTTAGTGTGCTTAAGAACTGCAGTCCCAATATAAACCTAGTCTTCATTTTTTAAAAAAGAAAAACTTTATATCTTGTTTTCGGTGCCAATACACACAGAGAAAAAACATCTCAATGGAAAGTTAGACAAAGTTTAATTTTTCTTCAAAAAATAAATATTTCTGGTTCTCTCTCCTGCCTTACTGTCTTTCCTATAACTACTATTTCACTAGTAGACAATATTATTTCAGAAATATATTTCAGTCCATTATCAGGTAGTGATCCAAAAGCCAGAAGGATGAAATATTGTTAGCTAAGTAACAATGCAATCATAGCTCTATTTGCACAAAAGTAAGTTGCTCTGATTTCAGTTAGATTTGCTGCTCCAGAAATACGCTTCAGACATTGACCTAGATATTCCAAATGAAAAGCTCTTTTTAATCATTCCATTCTCCACAAATTTAGTTTCCACTAAAATTAAATCCATAGTGCCAATCTGGTTACAGACTAGCAAATTTATTATGGCATAAGTTTTCACAAGCCACAGCATACTTTTGAAGTTATCAGATAAAATTCCATAAAATTCCATTCCATCAAAGACCTTTGAATAATCTTGATATGTCATGGGAATGACTATCTTATCAAGGGGTAATTCTGAGGAAGAGCTGATTGTAGAGGCTCTTTCACTCAAAATTACATTCCTTTGAATCTACATAATATGGTTGCTGTCTTGCCCTTAATAGGAAGTGGCTTCTTACCCATATACATCATGGCAGCTATAATAAGCAGAAGGAATAGCCTTGAGGAACAGGAGGAAGAGTCGCAAAATCAAGATAATGGTCAGATAAAAGAAATTTGAGTCCAAAACAGAAATGTAGTTTGAGAAAATGTCTCAGACTTGATTGTTCCTAGTTTTCTTAAAGATAAAGACAGGGACAGGGGAAGGCACATTCAAAAGAGTTACCTTGAGGTAAGATGGGTAACCTATATATATTTTAAACAAATGAATACATGCATACAAAAGTAATCCTCAACTTACAACTACATTGGGCCCAAAATTTCTGTTACTAAGTGAGATATTTATTAAATGAATTTTGCCCCATTTAACAAACTTTCTTGCCACAGTTGTTAAGTGAATGACTGCAGTTGTTAAATTAGTAACGCAATTGTTAAGTGAATCTGGCTTCCCCACTGACTTTGCTTGTTAGAAGGTCACAAAAGGTAATCACATGACCCCAGGACACTGCAACCATCATAAATACGAGTCAGTTGCCAGGTGTCTGAATTTTGATCACATAGCCATGGGGATGCTGTAATGGTCTTAAGTGTGAAAAACAATCATAAGTCACTTTTTTTTAGTGCTGTTGTAACTTTGAATGATCACTAAGCGAATTGTTGTAAGTCGAGGATTACACATACATACATAGGTACATACATGAAATAAAGGCTCAGCAGGTCTCACAGAAGAAAGACTTTCAAAGTCTCGGAGCAATAAACAGTTTATGCTGTAACTTTTCTAATATAAATACCCTTGCGAATGATTGTTCTGAAGCGAAGAATTTCTTTCACCAAGCCTGCTGGGATAGAGCAGGCGGTGTTTTCAACATGTCAAATATTGCCAAGTGAAGTTCAAGAACAAACTCCCTATTTTCATAAAAAAGACAGCTGACAGACAGACAAATGGCCTTTTGCACTTTCCTTTTAGACATCCACATAAAACCATTTATATTTTTACATAAATCCATCATGTTATGTTTTACATAACACGCTTGGTGAGAAAATTAAGACTATTAGGCAGTAATTTTTATAATAATTTCTGAGTTGGAACTTTTCAAGAAAAAAAACCCCACAGAATAGAATAATGGCTGCTAACTCATAATTTAGATAATTTGGAGTAATGAAAAAAAAAAAAGACATTGTCAAAAGAGAAAAAACATGGGAGATATTTTTTCTTGCTGCTAAGCTTTTGAATGCAGGAAAGACAAACAGAGAATGGCTTTAAAATAGGCAACACATAATGTATTGTTGCTGGCACTTCCAAGTCAAAAATCCTATCTTTGCTCAGAATTGCACACCTCTTACCAAGAGGATTTTTTTTCCCCCTGAGGTTTGAACTTAGCTGCTCTTGAACTCTGCAGTGGATTCTTCTTGTAAACAACATTTTAAACAATATTAGTTTTCAAGACTTGGGAACTACATTTCTTGATTATTTTAATTAGAATTTTTATAGTTTTGAATCACAATATGTTTATTATTAGTATGTTTTATGTATCATATTGAAGTCCTTGGCTATCAAATTGCTTTATACCATATAAAAATAAAGATAAAATGCATAGACTCAAAATAAAACTAGACCCATTATATAATTACCCTACATAAAATATACTAGGTGATGCATAAAACAAGAAAATATCAGCTCATAAAAAAGTGAATTTAAAAACCCTGCCACAAAACAAAAGTATAAACGTAAGAAGCGATTCACTGTTCGAAACAAAAAAAAAAGTTATTACAAAGGAGTTTAAGAGGCTTGTAGGGGGAAAGTCCAATCTTGAGAGGGAAAATGTTTTTTTTTAAGGGAGCCAACATATTTCTGATCTTACATGCAACCCCACATAATATTGCTATGTTATATGTTACGCTGGAGCTCTTGCCAGAGCTGTGGAAACATCTGGGATGACCTGGGAAGTCTACTTACAGTGATATGATACAACATATTTTCTACATGGCTATACAATAGCATATTGGTAAACTAGTAACACATACTTATTTTAACCTTCAAATCCCCGTAGGGGTACAATAGGTTTGGATAGAAGTTTTTTTTTAATTTCTCCTCTCTAGCACTGCTGAGGGAATGATGTCAAAATATGTGTGTATGGGTGTGTATATAACACACACTCACAGAGAGACACACATATACACACCAGAAGATAAACAGATATATACAGCAGTTTATCACCTGGTCACTATGATAGTGAATTGGTTGGAAAACACAAGAGGCTGCCATCTTGCTGAAGCTAAACAGGTATGGGATCTGCCAATGCCAGCTTGATCCTTCCTCTACGTGCCAGCTTGAAGTCCACGATGGATCAAAATGAACTGGGCCACAAATGTCCCAATTATATAAAAATGATAGCTATGTTAGCATACACAGTAAAGCTAACTCAAATCTTTGTCATGTAAATGCATGGATTACATGTTTTAGCAAGTGTTTTTTATTGCAGTAACCCTTCTCTCCTTTTGGCTATAGGATCTCATCAGTGGCACAATAGATAGAAAGTAAAAATGACTGCAATTATATTGCATAGGCTGTTACTATTGCTGTTGTATATTGCATTTACAACAGCAATAGTAACATTACCAAATTATAGACTAACCTGTCCAACAATAAGTTGGGGGCAAAGAGCAGCTTTCCTGGGTGCTCCACAGATCTCCACACCAGGCCAATCATCAATATCTCTAACCAGGCACATTCTAGTAGATGGACTTGATCATGGAGTGTTAAGTCCACAAAGCCTAAAAGAAATGGAAAGGCAGGATTTATTCAGTAAAAAAAACAATTTATGAGAATTAGGAAAACTCTAAAGTTTTGGTTGACTCATTCAGTTACAGCAGGTTCATGAATCAATTAATCTTTTTGGTCTGCTCTAGACTGATAAATATACAGTACATGAAGACAAGATTGGCAATTTGACAAATTGTTGCTTTTCTGTGCTTTAAAATAGTATAGGAAAAAAATAATACATGTTATCATAGAATCATATAAGCTGGGAGAGACTTTGGAGGTTTTCCAATCCAACACCCTGTTCAAGGCAGGAGACCTTATACAATCCTGGTCAAATAAATATCCAGTCTATTTTTGAAAACCTCTAGTAATAGAGCATCTACAACTCCATGAAGCAAGCTATTCTATTGATTAATTGTTCTCATGGTCAGAAAATTTCTCCTTACTTCTAGGCTGGATCTCTCTTTAACAAGTTTCTATCCATTACTTCTTGTCCTCTTGTGCTTTGGTGAATAAGTTAATCCCCTCTTGTGTGTGACAGCCCCTCAAATACTGGAAAACAGTTATCATGCTGCCCCTAATCCTTCTCTTTGATAGGCTAGACCAGGGATAGGCAATCTCGGCTCTTTTATGACTCATGGACTTCAACTCCCAGAATTCCTGAGTCAGCATAAAAGAGCTGAGGTTGCCTACCCCTGGGCTAGACAAGCCTAACTCTCTCAACCATTCATGATTCGATTTCATCTCCAGACCCTTTATCATCTTTTTTGCTCTTCTCTCCACACTTTCCAAGGTTGTGATGTAAACACTATAAGGCAATTTCCTGTTTTTTTTACAATGGAATCCTAAATGAAATGTGTAATAATTGTCCTTCTACATTTGAGAAATATTATGTTTTGCAATTACTTACCATTCTAATGTCTTAAACCATGTATTTGAAATCAAGCATGTATTATATGCAAACACCCAAGAATAGCAAGTGCCCTGCATGGAATTACATTTGTATGCATGTGCACACATTCATGTACACTACGGGCTTTATAAATTTACGACTTTTATTATTAGGCAATCAGAACTTATTTTTCAGCTAGGAAAAATATGGGGTTTTGTTTTTTTTTAAAGTAATTCTTTCTCTCTGCCCATTTCCTGACACTGTTATGAAGAAAACACAAATGTCTGTCTAGAAGTACAGAGAATCTCACTGAAAGACCAACTTTTCTGGTTAGCTTCTTGAGAATCAACAGAATACACGCTGGAGTTCAAAATAGAAGAAGATATGAATTGTGTTTATAGATTTTTTTAAAAACGTAAGTTATTTTTGATTTTGGGGTTAGTCCATTTTAAGATTGCACTAAGAGGAAACTTAGGAATTATATGATGGACATATTCCCCTATTGCATAACATTTTCTGATTTTCCTGCTGCATTAAAATCTCAGATTATCACTGAAGGCAGTATAAAAGTAGCTCCTTAACATAAATCTAAAAATCACACATCTATATCATCTATGTCTATCGTTACCCCTTTTCTTTTTTAAGGTACTTTGTTCAGACAGTTTTTTCCAGATTCATTCATTCATTCTCTTCTCAAATTCTCAATTCTTTTGGCCTCGGTCAACCAACATTTCATCCACATGGAATGCTTTGCTTTCCATTAGTAGGCTCCCTCCATCTCTACAATAACTGAGTGGTCTCCAAGTACTGAGTTTAACAAAATTAAGGATATATTCCATATTCATGGTAGGTCCTATCCACACGTGCTTGAATTAGAAATAATCAAAACAGTGTGGGATATCTAGTTAGAATTCAGATACATTTACTCTCTGTCCTGAACAGAAATTGGATTATTTTGAGCACTGCTATATTTTCCCACAAAAGCTAATTCTCCAAGGAGGTAGAACTGTTGTACAGGTAGTCCTTGTTTAGCAACTGCCTTGTTTAATGACCATTTGCAGTTAGGACCGTGCAGGTCTTTAAAACAAAGGAAAGCTGAAGTGAGATCATAAGCAGTCACAGTTTCTCTTAGTGAGCCCTTTGCTTAATGACCAAGTTGCTGGTCCCAGTTGTGATCACTCAACAAGGACTACCTGTATAAGTACTGAACAAACAAGTTTGTGTGAAAAGAAAAATAATTCATCTAATAATTTATGTGAGACGCTAAATAGCCCATCCTTACATTATTTGAGAATAAAAATAAAACTAAGGGTAAGCTGGAATGTAAGAATGTAGTCAACAGTGCCTCCTATATTTAAGTCTAGCATAGATTTCTGCTATAGTTTAAACCTGAACATTATGCTAATTAGAAGTTTAAGAGGACACTTGCAATTGATTGCTCAGAGCAGTTAGTTGCACAATTGATTGCTAAAGCTCTAAGTTCTACAACTGATTGCTTAGATGAGATTAACTAAGAACAGGATGCTCTGATTAGATCTGAGAACTATATGTCTTCTTCCTGGAGCTGGGAACAAAGCATTCTGCTTGAGGATAGAAACTGTTCTTTCCTTTATTGGAGCTTAAACTGTTGAAATACTGTTTCAAATAATCTATCCATTCTGATATATGTAGATATAAATACAGGTATTCCTTTTTCTGTTCTTTGAAATGCAGTTTATCTAGTACAATATCTAGAGAGTACTAACATTAAAAATATGAGAAATAACAGTGACTTGAGATTAATATCTAATTATTCAAAACCTACAGATTATCAGTTTGTGATAAAACAAAAGTTACTAGTTTATGTTTATGTTTTGTTTATTTAGATTTGTATACCGCCCTATCTCCCTTACGGGACTCAGGGCGGTAAACAGGCGATAATAAAAATCACAATAAAAATCACAAAAAATATCTATTCTAAAATCAGATTAAATAAATAAAGGCCTGCTCTAAAATACCCCATATAAAAACCTATACTAAAACCTAATTAAGACTATGCCAGGCCGGCCGCACGAAATAGATGGGTTTTCAGGGCTCGTTAAAATATTCGAGGCATCAGAGGAGTATGTGCCTGTTCATTTTTTAATCCTTTGAAATATATTTAAATGAAATTGCAATGTACTCGCAATGTATTTAATGTGAGGCTTTATTCTAATACTCCTAGCAACTCTATTATGGGATTGGGTATATTTTTGAACATCTCTTCGGGCATCCTTAGCTTTCAAAAGATATGAACCAATGCTGGATCACATCTAAGCCAGTTTAAGTCATAAATGAACAAAACTCTATTCAGCTTCCTCCAAACCAAAATGAAAGATCTTACTATATCTCAACCCAATGATAGATGATCCATGTACTTGTCCCAAATTAATGCAGGTGTGGTGGAGTGGCAGAAAACCACACAGTGTAGATCAGGGGTCCTCAGACTTGGCCCTTTTATGACTTGTGGACTTCAACTCCCAGAATTCCTCAGCCAGCACACTGGTTGAGGAATTCTGAGAGTTGAAGTCCACAAGTCATAAAAGGACCAGGTTTGAAGACCCCTGGTGTAGATTTTCTGAGTGGTTGTAAATAAAATAGTATGTAAGCATACATGATCAAAGGTCTTATGAATGGTAAGGGGAAAATGACCAAGAAAGAGCTATAAATAATAGACAAATGCCATTCAAAGAAATGCCCAGTTTCTGAAAAAAGCAGGTGAATTGTATGAATTTCAAAAAATTATTGAAATTCCACACAGAGATTAAATGAATCCTCACATATTGTACGGCAGGGGTCCACAAGTCATAAAAGAGCCAAATTTGAAGACCCCTGTTGTACGGCAATGTTCAACAACAAACTCTTCAATCAATGAGCCACAATAAAACAATTAGCATGTATTTATCGAATTTTGAATTCAGATTAACATCAGTGACATTATTTTCCGATGGTTTTGTAACATAATAAATATATTCAGTGGCATAAAACTGAATATCAATTATCAAATTAGCAGCATTCATGAAAGATACTTAAAAAGATTTGGTAGGTTTAATTATGCCACATGAGCAATATTTGAAAACAATCCCCTATATTTCTGTGTGGTATAGATTATTCTTGTGCTAAGTCTTAAAAGAACAGAGATATGTACGTGGGGTTCTAATTTATTGCAGTATAATAAATGGTTGATTATTCTATTGAAATATATATTATATTTGCAGAAGGAATGTTAACTTTGATTAGCTTCCTTTGCCCTGATCATGCTTCAAGCAAATTGCTTTTTAAATCAAGAGTCTGGTTTCTTTAATTAAGTCATTGTAGAAGGAAATTTTAACAGAGGACTGAGTTCTCCCATGTCTTGGTTTAAGTACATCTATTTAATCGTTAGGCTCTTTATCCAGATCTTCAAATTTGTATGATATTAGAAGATTTGATAAGAAGATTTTATAATCTACAATATACAAATATTATTTATGATCAGCTTTTATAATCCACAAGATACAGATGATCATAATTTATTTGGTTAAAGAAAAGTAGAATAAAAGAGAAATAGTCATATTTAAAAATGAAAACATTAAAAGGGTTACAATGAAAAAGAAAAAAAAACAAAAGTTTGGAAAAGATTAGATTTATATAGGAAATCATTATGTACAATCAATACACATGAAGTTGTTATAAAGATGTTTTAATTAAAGCAAAAAAAAAAGAAAATGGAAAGAAATGAAGGTAATGTTTATTTATTTAAGAAAATGTATATGGTTACCCAACTCCAGGGGTCTTCAAACTTGGCCCTTTTATGACTTGTGGACTTCAACTCCCAGAATTCCTCATCCAGGCACACTGGCTGAGGAATTCTGGGAGTTGAAGTCCACAAGTCATGAAAGGGCCAAGTTTGAAGACCCCTGCTCAACTCAGTCTCAGTGAATCCAGGCAGGTTACAAAGATAAAAACCTAATATAAAACAATAAAAAGTAATTATCCCCATTGCCTTAGGGACAACACTTAATTAAACAAGCCCCTTGATGGGCTCCATCCCACTCTGGTTCTACTTACTATCTTTCCATAAACATGATTAAGTCTTTCAACCTTATTAACTATGAAAAA